CCCCTGCCCCTAGCACAGAAGCCACATCCCCAACCACGGCCCAGCCCCAGCTCCCTCCACCTCCCTGGGTGATGGTGTCCCACTCGTCACCACGGCCTCAGGGCCACTACCTGTGACTGGGAGGAAGTGGGCCACAGCATCACACGGTGTCCTCTGCCAACCCGCTCTGTTCTCCAGCTGGGCACGGGACTCAGCCACCCCTGGCCCCTCTGCACACACGCCCCCCCCCCCCCCCATGGAAGCTGGGCCAGTGCACACAACCTCAGCCTGCCTGGGTGTTCAGACCCCTGGGGCCCCTCCTTGACCTCCATGGGCAAGAAGTTCAGCCATGAAGTCTCCTCTGCGTGTGCTGGGGTGGGGGTGACGCAGCTCCTGCAGCCCCACCGTTCAGGAACTAAGACTGCAGGGCAGGGGGGTGCAGGAAGTCGGGGTGGTAGGCAAGCGGCCAGGAGCCCTGGACATGCGTGCGTGGGGAGGAGGAGCCCCCTCCCCTGCCTCAGCGTGTCTGTGCCCTCAGGATAAAATCCAGGGTCAAACTCACCTACCATGGCCTCCCCCTGCCCGCCAGCTCCACCTCACAGATCAACACCATGTCCTAGGAGCTGAGCACTCGCATTCTCCTGGTTTATGGATGGAAGCCGAGGCACAGAGCGACGCCAGAGCTACTGCATGGCAAGGCTGGCTTTGGAACCCAGGCCACGTGGCTCCAGCGTCTGTGTGCTCACCGCTGGGCTGTGCAGCCTGTTTCTCACTCCCCCCAGCCCTATGCACCTGGCTCCCGGTGGGGAGGGTACTGAGAAGCCCAGGTTCAATCAGAGAGGTCTGGGGTCCATGGCGCTCACTCGGGTCCCCACTTCGTTGCCTTTGCACTCCACACTCCTTCCTGCTCATACCTAGATGCCCTGCCCAAGGTCACCCTCCCCAGGCTGCCCTGGGCAGCCTCCTATCAGCCTCTACTCCATGCACAGGCCCTGGGCCTGGGGACTCGGGGTGGTCCAGGGTGGGTTGTCCTGATTGTGTCCCCACCCCCACCCCCTGGGTTGCCCAGTGGCTGTTGCTGGCCCCAGGACACTTTGGTTAATGAAGGTGAGCGAGGCACAGCGCTGGGGCAGAGGAGGTTAGCCTGCACCCCTGCTCTGAAGGCTCAGGAGCAGGCAGATGGCGGGGAGGGTGCTGCTGATCCGCCCTGGTAGAAGCAGAGGCGACACCCAGGGCGGAAAAGGCCCGTGCTTCCTGCCCAGCTCCGGGCCTGGGTACACAGGCCTCTGAGGCCCCCATCCCCTCCCAGACTGCCACCTGACCATGCCCCTGTCACGGCGAGTGGACCACCCCAGCCAGGAAAAGGCCAGATTTCCCAGTTCAGGACGGGGCCAGAGAGCAGATGTGGGCGTTTGTGACCTCTTTGCTGTCACTTCCTGGTGACCTTGGGCACTCCTCTGCTGGGCCTCAGGGGTCACAGGGGGTCTGCTCTGAAAGCTGTCTTTCATCCCGGGGAGGCTCTCCCAGCAAGGGCAGCCAGAGAGCCGCTCTGACAACCCCATTCATTCACCTCCCCGAGGCTGAGATCCCACTGCTGGGCCCTGGACTGGGGGGAGGCAGGGAATGAGGCACAGACATAGATAATTGTAGAACCTTCAAGCTGAGGGAACCAGACCACAGGCAGGCTGCCTGGGGGTGTTCAGGAAGGCTTCATAGAAGAGGTGACATTTGATACGGGAGACGGAGCAGTCAACACTTATTTACTGAGCACCTGCTATGTGCCAGGCTCTGAGAATACAGCAGCGTCCACACAGATGGTCACTGGACCCCAGGGTTTTTCCCTTTGGCCCCACAGGGAAGCTGGAAGGGGACCAGCAGGAGCCACCCCTGCATGGAGACAGAATGTATCCTGCTTGTTGATGGAGTGAGGGCAGAGGGAAGAGGCGGGGAGAGGAGGCCCGCGGCGTTGGCAGAGAGCACTATCAGAGGGGCTGGACCACCAGGCAAGGATTTCAGGCTTTATCGTGCTGTCAGCTTGAGCTACGGAAGGTTCTGAACAGATGGGGGCGGCACGAGGTTTCTTAGCACCACGATCAAGTTCACTGCCATAAGTAAATGTGTGGAACCAGTGGTTCCCAGGCCCCGGCAACACTGTCGGAGCTTCCTGGAACCAATCTCCCCCCTACCTGGGACCTGGAGGGCCTGGCAGAGGAGGCACCCGAACCCCAGTCTAGACTTCAGCAAGCAGCTCACTGCCTCCTTGTTCTTCCAGCCGGACCCCCAGCTCCATGAAGGCTGAGCACTCCAGGAGGAGTCTCCGGGCCCAGGCCTCCATGGGACTGGAAGCCCCCCTGGGCAGACCCCAGTGCTATTTCTTGGGGCTCTCAGTGCCACCTAGTCTCCCTACAGAACTCGTGTCTGCTTTAACAACTGGCCAGGGCTCTCTGTGTGACAATCCTGGGGCTCCCCCAGGTGCCAGCCTCAACTTACCTGCTGGCTCCACAGCAGGATCAAGGCAAGGCTCCAACAGTGTTTGGGACCCTTAAAAGCCAAAGGGGCTGGCACTGTGGTGTAGTGGGTAAAGCTGCCGCCTGCAGTGCTGGCATCCCATATGGGATGCTCCTCTTCCAATCCAGCTCTCTGCTATGGCCTGGAAAAGCAGCAGAAGATGGCCCAAGTCTTTGGGTGCCTACACTCATGTGGGGGACCCAGAAGAAGCTCCTGGTTTCCTAGCTACTGGCTTCTGATTGACCCAGTTCAGAAGTCAGAGTTACAGAGAGGGAAATACAGAAAGAGAGAAAGAGAGAGAGAGTGAGTCTTCCATCTGCTGGTTCACTCCCCAGATGGCTGCAACAGCTGGAGCTGGACCAGTCCAAAGCCAGGAGCCAGGAGCTTCATCCGGGTCTCCCACATGGATGGCATGGACCCAAACACTTGGGCCATTTTCCGCTGCTTTCCCCAGGCCATTAGGTGGGGAGCAGCATTGGAAGTGGAGCAGCCAGAATACAAACTGGTGCCCATAGAGGATGCCAGCATCACAGGCGGCAGCTTTACCCAATATGCCACAACGCCAGTAAAGGGCTCCTCTTAACCTAACTCCTATCCTAGGGCTTTTTTCAGACTCTGTGCCTTTACACATGCTGTTCCCTCCACCAAGAATGCCCCCCCCCCATCCTCTGAGCCCTGGGGCCCACCCAGTCCCTCCTTTTTCCCTGCCAAGTAGCAGTATCTCTCTCTCTCTCTCTCTCTCTCTCTCTCTCTCTCTCTCTAATCATTTGAAAGGCTGAGCAAGAGAGACAGAGAAACAGGCACAGACACAGAGAGATCTGGGGCTGACTGGCTCACTCCCCAAATGTACCCAGCAGCGGGGCTGGGCCAGGGTGCTGTCAGGAGCCAGAAATTCAATCCAGGTCTCCCACGTGAGTGCTGGGGACCCAAGGACTTGAGCCATTACTTGCTGCCTCCCAAGGTGCACATCTCGGAACCTGGGATCTGAAGCAAAGCTGGACCTCCATCTCAGACACTCTAGTGTGGATGCGGGGGTCCCAAGTGGCCCTTAAGGCTGTGCCAAGCACCTGCCCCAAAGTCCTAAGCCCTCTTCTGCGGGTGAGGCTCCCGGGGCTAGAGAGGCGGAATAACCTGTTCAGGGCCACACAGCTTTGCCCTAGACTGCAACAGCGATTGGTGGATAGGATCGTGGGACTCTCCCGCGGCCTCTCCTTTGGCGGATCCCCGTCAGCTACAGGAGGTAGCTGCCGCCTCCGGCTCACGGCCAGGCTGTGCCACACCGCCTCCGTCCCTTCGCTCCCCAGCCCAATCGGTGTGGCGCATGTCGCCTCCGCGGCACATTCAACACGCAGTCCCGCAGTCAACCCCCGCGGCGCGGGCGGCGTGCGGGCCCGTGCCGGGCGCGAGGCCACCGCAGGTGCATCACGCCCGCCCTGGAGGTGAATGAGGTCCTGGCGCTCCTCCGCCCCGGCAGCACTGCTGAAACAACCGACACAACGCTTCTCTTGCAGGAGGGGCAGAGCTACGAGAGACCCGCGAGTTATTTCCAAAACTTATTTTTCATCGCTCCCCGAGATCGGAACATTTCACAGCCGTCATGTCTCACCTCTGCGCGCCGAGCGCTAGCGGCTGCGGAGCCGCAGGGTGAGGGCGGGTCCTGCCGCCCCCACTACCCGGGGACCCCCACCCGGGGCCCCTGTCCCGGGCAGCCCTCCTCCCCCGGCCCCCGCTCCCACCCCTCCACGCGGCAGTCCCCTGCTCAGATCCCAGACAGGCCAGCCCCATTCGCCCCCGCTCCATCCTGGTGTCCCCAGGTCGCCCCCTCCCCAGCTCGGTTCTTCCAGGATCCCCAGCCCCGCCATTGTTCTCCCGGCGACCGCGCCTCTCCGTCGTCCGCTCCGCCCTCCGAGGCGGCGTTCTCATCCCGCAGAGCTCCGCCCTTTTCCCACTCTCTGATTGGCCCCTGCTGCCGGGCCGCGCGGGGCCCGGGCAGGGGAGCCGGCGCGCGCCGCGTCCTCGCCCGTGGCCCCGCCGGGGGTGGGACCTCGTGGGACTCCGCCCCGTCCGGGCGGAGCCGCGCTCGCCAGTGCTCGGAGGCGGGGCGGGGCCGCCTCGGCTCTCCTCGGCCCGGCTCGGGCTGCCGCGCCGGTGGGGGTGGGCGGCGGGGATGACAGCGGCTGTGGCGGCGGCTGCGGCGCGCGGCTGAGCGAGCGGGGAAGAGGAAGTGGAGCCTCGGCCCGAGCTCCGGAGTCAGCTGGCGCGTGGAGCGCGGAGCTGGGGAGACTTCCCCGCCGGCGCCTGCCCTGCCCAGCCCCGGGTTCCGCGCCCAGACGCTCCTTTGCCCGCGGTCCGTGCTTGTGGCCGCGACGCCCGGGCGGGACGCTCCTGGCTCCGCCGTACGGCTCCACGCCTGCGGGTTGGTTGGCAGCCTTCCTACCACTGTGGGTCGGAGCCCCTAGCCCTCCGCCCCGAGATTAGCGCTTGGGTGGCCCCAGCCTCCGGACCTGGGCGCAGAGGAACCCGGACGCCCCCAATCTCGGGACGCCAAAGACCCGACCCTTCAGCTGCCTCGAATCAAGCGCTTCGGACTTGGAGCGCCCGAGAAGCCCCGGGCCGCGTCCAGCGCCCCAGGTGGGGTCCCGGCGGGCAGGACAGTCGGACTGAACCCCCGGACTGGTGCTGCGAGCTGTAGTCGCTGCCTCCCTCCCGCCCTGGGCTGGGGCTCGGGATTCAGCGCTCGCCCGGAGGAGAGCACCGGCTCGTTCCGTCCCGGCCAGAGCCGAGGCTGCAGGTGAGAATCCCTGATGTGGGGCAGGAGCAGTCTCCGACCTCATGGCCGCAGCACCGGGCGCGGCTGAGGGCGTGGGCGGGGGGCACGGGCAGAGGCTGGAACCTGCTCAGAGGGGGAGGGAGAAAACGGGCACTTATTGAGCGCCCATTGTGTGCAGGTCCGAGCCCCGCCCTATGCGCCTCATTGCTATCCCAGCTGGAGAGGTGCTGTGCATTGTCGTGTGGGCACTGACAGATGGGGGAAATTGAGGCTCGGCTGACTGAGCGACCCTGCTTTCTTCACTCGGGGTGGGGGGCAGGGGGAAGAAATCTGGGGAGGAGAGAGAGGAAAGGAAACCAAGGGGGAGGGGAGAAGTGAGAGGGCTGGGTAGCAAGCATGAGGCCGGGCCACCCGGCATCGAGACCTTGGCTTTCCCTGGCCAATCAGCTCCCAGGAAAGGCCACCCAGAGTTGAGGGCAGAGGTGGGACACTTGTCTCTGTGTGTCCAGGAAGGAGAGCAGCTGCTCCTGGCTCCTGAGTGCCATGCTCCCAGTCTCTGGACCTCTGTGGGGACACTCCCTGCAGAGCCCAGCAGAGTTGGGGGAGATGGGGTTCACTTTGCTCATGGGGACCCTGAGGCTCATGCAAGCAGGGGTGCCAGTTGCCACAGGTCCTAAAGCCAGTGAGTGGTTGGGCCAGAAACTGTCTCAGACACCCCCCACCCCCCAGTTAGCTTCTTCTGGGTGAGTGGCTGGCATCTGTCCCACCCTGATGTGACATTGGGGTGGCCCTGCGTGAGGCTGCTCTGAGAGTCTGCGTGGTTGGTGCTTGGGCCTGAGACATGTGGGCTGCCTCAGAGCCTATGACCCAGATGGCAGGTCTGACCTCAGTCCCTCCTGGGCAGGGAACCTGCAAGACTTCCCTGGCCCAGGAGCAGGTGGTCTTGCTCAGGTCTCAAGTCTGGGGGCACAGTTCCTGGTGTCTTGATTACCAGGCAGGGGCTCCTGCCACTGCCCTCAGGGGCTGTGCAGGCAGAGGAGTGTTGTGAGAGAGCCCTTGGCATGGACTTGGTAGGCTCTTGTTCTGGGTAGGGAGGCATGGGAATGTGGCCTTGGTCTGGGCCCTGTGGCCTTGGCTGGGACTAGTTAACCCCTGGGGTCAAGGGGAAGCCACCCTGGAAAGCCCCTGGGAGGTGGAGCAGAGTGGTGAGAGGTCAGCTGAAGGCTGGGGGCTCCGGTGTGGGGGCGGGGGCATGGGCTAGGGGAGTCACCAGAGAGGACTAAGGGGCTTGGGGCTCCCCCTCCCCCCGCCCTGTCTGAGGTTAAATCCTCATAATAATCCTGCATCTGAACAAAGCTCCTCTTTGATGAAATAGCTTCCCACCTGTGATCTCATTTCATGGTGTGGTGGGAAGAGCCTGGAAGTGGGAGCGAGGCAGAGCAGGCCTGGGACCTCTCAGTGGCGTCTCTGTGGCCCCAAGTCGCACCTGTAAAATGGGGTCAGGGCAAGCTCAGCTAATGGGGTGGCTGCCTGTAGCAGACTGCCAAGGGCTAGGAGCTTGTTGTGTTTGGCCTTGTTAGTACTGGCTAATCTTGGGTGGGAAACTGAGGCTTGGCAAGGTGAAACCACCTGCCCAGGGCCTTCAAATTTGCTTCGGGAGTGGTTTGAGTGCCAACCGCATACCAGGTGACCTGGCAGTTACCTTGTGGGCTAAGCAGCAGCCTGGAGCTCGCCTAACAGGTGAAGGCAATGCTAAGTCACACCAGGTGGGCGTGAGTCTGCCCCCTCCCCCGCCAGCCCAGTGCAGCGCTCTCCTTGAGCTCCTGTTGCTTCTCTAAAGTTAGAATACTTCCTTTCCCAGGTCAGTGAGGATTAAATGAGATACAGATACACAGTGCCTGGCCAATACCTATTTCCCTCTTCTGAAGAAAAGGAAGCCTGAATTTTGACCAGGAAGTCTGGGGAAGCATTCAGACTTGCCTTAGATTAGAATGCACGCTAAGGTTGCATCTCAGAGATGTGAATCTGTGCAGCTCAGTCTCCTGGGGAGGCAGACTCCTGTCTCCTAGCCTTCTAGAATCTGTCTGGAGCCATTGGCAAGGGGCTTCACATTCTGACACCCACCACTTACCCTGCTGGCTTCCTGCTGGGGGGCTGAGGTGGGGGAAGCTGGCCCATTGTTGGCCTGTGTAAGCACAAAGGAGCAGTGAATAATTTATTGCTCCCCTGGCTGGGAGACTGGGGGAGTAGATCTGTGGCCAGCTGAGCTCTGAACCCACCGGGGATGAAGATGAGCAAGTGGCTCCTGTCTGTGCTGTTAGTGTATGTGTGGGGGGAGGGTGGACCCACAGGGAGAGCGACCTGTCATCACCCCCTGGCCCTCCCCTGTTGGTGAACCTGCAGGCAACAATGGGAACCAGGCCAGCCCAGCTGGACTCCTGTTGTGGGCCAAAGGGGGCGGGGGAGGAGGAGGAGGATGCAGGACTCTTGGGGACCATGAAAGCCGAAGGGTTCCCTGGTAGAGGGAGGGTCTGGCTGGAGCTGCAGCCGCTTGCTGTGGAGCAGGGCTCCTGACACCTGTTCCAGTGTTGGATCCTGGCTCATCGGTGGGGAGGCCAGGCAAGGCACTAGCCCTGCCGAGCCCCCGTGTCTTCCTCAGTGAAATGCCCATCATAAAACCCGCTTCTCAGGGTTGCTACTGGTGGCCGGGAGGTCATGCGTGTTAACGCAGCAGGATGGGTCCTCCCTAAGGGGCTGCCTCACTGGGAAGCTGAGCCGTGGAGTGGGCTAGCAGTGCACCTTGGGAGGCCGAGGCCAGCAGAGCGCGTGGAGGATGCTGGGTTTGCGGGGATGGTGAGCGGTGAGTGACCGGATGGGGAAAGGGCCTTAATGGGCAGACGGAACTCACGTTTCGGGACACACCAGGGAACCCCCGTTAGAACCCTCCACGTCTCCTTGTTGCCTGTGAGATGAAGACCAGGCCCCTCGTGCTGGCATTCAAGGCCGTGCCCACTGCATGGGCCAGCACTGTCCCCTGGACGCAGTGGGGCTCCCTGCTGCCCCTTTGTGGCGGGTTCCCGCCCATCCCTGCCTCTTGTCCACTCGCTTCCCAGCCGTCAAGGACCAGCTCGGGCCATAGATTTCCCCAGCAACATTCCTAGGTCACCCACCAATCCAGTCGTGCCCCTCTGCAGCTCTAACACGCAGCAGTAACAAGTCCCGTCTGCACCGGGCCCTTGGTACTCTGTGGAATGCCCACCGGGATGACGTCAGCAATAGCTGAGCCAGACTATAGGCCAGGCACATCACACTGCTTCCCCGCCTCCCCCCAAACTGGGGCTCAGAGAGGTGCAGCATCTCGCTGAAAATCACACAGCCAGACTGCGGGGACCGTGACAGGGAGTCCAGCGCGTGCCTGTTTCAGAAGACCTGGAAGCAGATTGAAGCCTGTGCTTCTGTCTAGGACTGCCCAGACAGCCAGACAGCTTGTAGGCGACACCCTGTCTCTTCCACTTGACCCCAGCACGCCTGGCCTGTGAGCCGTCTTCTGGAGGCTGAGGAAAGGCAGTGCTGGGTTGAGCGAGGGGCCCGGGGCGGGGGCGCTGGCTGGCTGTGTGGCCTGGAGCCGTGGCCTCCTGTCTGTGGTCCCGGAGGCCCTGGGCTGGTGTCTGAGTGCCTGCGTGCCCCGGGGCCTCGAGCTTTCTGCGGTGTCCTCTGTGACCCCGGGAGGAGGCGGAGGAGACCACAGCAGCAGGGGCAGAGGATGTGGTGTGACAGGCTGCTGTGATTTTTGGCCTGGGCTGCCGTCTGGGCCAGCAGGCGCTGTGGGCACCAGAAGAGGGGTGGCGGCCTGGGCTGCAGGCAGCATGGTCATTAGCAAGGCAGAGGCAACCCTGTGATTGGGCACTGGCTGGGCCAGCCCAACTTAGCAGGACTGGAGGCAGGCTGGCCCAGCCACAGCGGGGGTCATCGGCAGGGCAGCTGGCAGGGCACCCGGCTTCTCCTCCCTCTGCCACCTCCAGGGCAGTGGCGGGCACACACTTTGTAGTCAAGGCATGCCCTTTCTCCTGCTGGTGGCTACCAGGCCCCAAGCCGCCGCCTCCTAGGAGCTCCCAGGACTTCCCCCGAAGCAGACAGAATCCAGGGCTCGTGGTCTGGCTGCCTTGTGGGCACTGGACGCTGTGGCCCCCACGCCACCTCTTCCTCGAGTGCCTAGTAGCGTGCCCGGCACAAGATGGCAGCCCCCCGTGCCAGCTGCTCCTTGGCAAGGGCTCGATGCTGGCCCTGTGGTTTTCCTTCCTGCAAAACGGGGTTGTTGTAATGCTTTGATGAGATGAAGGGAGCGGGCGCTCGGGGACACACCAACTGTGCGAATCTCCCTCCCGTCCTCTCGCTGACCTCGTGAATGGGTGACTCAGTCTAGCGACTGAGGGAGGCCGGGAGGGCGTCCCCTGGGCTGGGCGGGGCTGCGGTTCCCACTGCCTTCCGCTGAGCTGCAGGGGGTGAGCGTGCAGCTGAGGCCTGGCCGCAGCCTGGCTTAGATTGGCGGCAGGCAGCAGGACGTGGGTGTCCAGAGCCCTGCTTTTTCTTCTCCGGCCCCACAGCAGGTGGGACCCAGCCAGCAGGTTGCTGGGCAGAGAAGTGTGAGCCCTTCTTTCCACAGAGGCGCATTCATCTGCTCCTAGCCCCACCTCTGGGGCACGCGCACGAGATGTGACCTGATTGGCAGTCCTGGTCTGCGGGGTGAACACACAGATACAAAACTTCCAGATTGTGGAAACTGGCCAGTCCCAGTGGCATCTGTGGCTAAATGGCATAGGGTAAGGCTCAAGTGACTTGATCTGACCTCTCTGGGTCTCAGTTACCCCATCTGTAAAGTGGGGATGACTATAGCGCCTGCTGCACGGGGCTGTGGTGAGGTTCAAGCACTTGGAATGGTACCCGCACATGAGGAACGTTGGCTGTTCTCGTCCGCATTTCCGGCGCTTTGCAGAGGAGCAGGGAGAGACCAGGTGCTCAGG